CAACTTATTTAAATGTGACTCTCCTAATTGAAAGGAAAATTATCAGAGTAATTACTTCTAGTGATAGACATGCACCCTCAGCACCAATATATAAAACATGGACATATTCAAACAACACAACAAACTACAAATTACAACAAACTATTTTTGTTATGTTATTAATAACGGCTTGCCATACATATTGCAAGATTACTCCGCCGCAGTATGTCATTCACATAGTACCAGGCGAAATCAAAGAAATTATTCCCCAAATTAAACATAAAGCGAGAGAGTTTTATTAAGGAGCAAAACTATGGAATAACATTCCAACTCATATCAGGAATATACAATGTAGGATTATTTTTAAAAAGAAATTTGTTTGTTGGCCTCTATTCCATTTGTATATTTTTTTTCGATATTTCATTGGGTGTTATTAAGACTTTTTTTGGAATAAACATCATCAACATTCTCATATGTACAACTCTAAAGTGAGTTGTTTTGCGTAAAGACTCATAAAGACTCATCTATGAATTCATGACATATTACAAATTCGTCACATTTGTATGCAGTGAATGAAGTAGCTATATGTATTATATTATAATAAGTTTATTACAATTTATAATAATATTGTAGTATATCAACACGTGTAATATTAATGACACCGACAGCGATACCTTTTGGGTCGCTTTGGTTGATCTACGTGCCAATGACAAATACTGCGTAATAACGATTAACTCTACAACAAATGTACTTATTACAGGAACTTAAATCGCATGGCACGAATATACAGGTCGACAATGACTTTCACTATATTATATTATCGTTATTGCACTATTTACATGTATTTATCTGAGTTGTACAATTTTTCAATGACATTCGCAGCAATACACGACAGTTTAAACGAAACTTACATGGGCACCTATGTTGAACTGGCAAAACGGGCGTTTATAATTACATTGTGTTTGCTTGATAAAATGCGTATAACTACGTTTGGTTTTATCATTTGATTTTAAACGACTTTACGTCAAATCACACTGATGTATGCTGTGTATAGCAAGTGAGTGCTGGTTTGCTCCTGTAAGTTACCTCACGTGATTGGGTATATTTATTTTCTTCAAAGTATAATATTTAATAATAATAAATTATATAGCCCTGTTGTATTTATCAACTTATTATTAGGGTGTGTAATTGATTGGGCGTATATCAGAATATAATGCTGAATACATTGCTATGCATAATAAGAAAGCAAAACGTGATTCCGATTTGATGAAGGATGATTTGAAAAACACTTTGTTTTTTAATTGTACTGCTCCTTACGCTCAAATAATTGTTAATTTAACTCAAATGTACATTCCATCAAATTGAAAGAAAAGAAATATAACAGAGAAGTTATGAGTAAACAAGCCATGCGTGACACAGTCCATGTTAGTTACCAAATCTAAGATATATAGTTTTATTTATAGTAATATAAAAAGTACAGGTACATATTAAGAGGTATTGCCCTTGAACAGCATTAATTAAAACAAAATGGTTATCATTTGGCCATTTTGAATCGGGTCTTCAAACCAATATATCTGTATATCTATGAGATTATACGCGATGGATATTTAAAATTTGAACATAATCAGTCAAAGCATGTCATGTCATGGTCATCAGTCAGCCATTTTGAATCTAAACAAAATGACGTACAATGTCCCAATATATGTAGCAAGTTTGTACAAAATTTATCTCTAAACAGTCGAGAAATGCTTGCTTTTGATAATTTTTTAGTACAAAAATGGCCATAGTGAATCAGATCGTGTAACAAATTGATGTGCATATGTAAATATTATGTACGATGTATGTGTGAAGTTCGAATGTAATCGGTCCAGACATGTCTAAGATACAAGTTCGGAGGCAGACACGCACGGACCCACATGGTCAATCAATCCGTTTTCGAACTAATTAATTACATTGTTTGATACAGTTTTTCACTAGTTTTTACAACTAATCAAGCATTTTTTCGCAATGCTGCTAATAATATATTATATATGTCCATTGCGTCAAAGTATACATTTACAGAATGGTATGTCAATTTAAATAACAGATATAAAAACTACCAAGATTGAAATAATTGTATTTTTTAAGGATCGTACACCATTGTAATCAATATTTTATACTTATTATATGTTTTTTTTCATTATATATGTCATATAAAACATGGTTACAGCAACGTGGTTATTATTACAAAAAGAGAGAGGGGAAATCATTGATTGACTTTGATTGCACATCGATGTTAGCAATAACATAATATATGTGGTCAGAAAACATAACAACATTCTGCCATACTACCATTTCTGTATAACATAGTCTGTAATGATGTTATGGAATGTGCATTAAAATAGTGTGCTAATAACCAAATTCCATTGTATTGAGTATTTTGTAATTAGTCCCATAACCCCTCCCCAATGACGGTATTTATGCTATAATGAAATATTATTTCACATTTATTTTGTTCATATCCACGTTTCCTTTATTGTTCTTATTTATTGTTCTTTCTTTGTTGTCTTTTCACAAAATGTAGAGGGATGTAGATCTTAATATACATATATGTTTTTCATATGTTAAATGACGTGCAATTCCTTACACTCAAACCAAAATGTATAATTGTCCTTCTGAATGTTTGTTACATCATAATTAGAATGCATTGTTCAATACATAATATATTGCCTGCAAAATATGCATGCACGAAGACAGTGTGAATATCAACCAACACGGAGATTAATACTACAAATAACGTAATGGAAATGTATAGTATTACAAGGAGGGAACCCGTTTTTTTTTGTCTTTTTAAAGAATACAGATTTTTATATTGAAAACAATAAATTACAAGTTCTTTGTAAACATTTGGGTGTAATTTCAAATAAAATGTAAGTGGGCTATTTGCTAATTAATTTCATTTGTTGTGATCCCATCACACTAAATATATGCACTACATCTACTCTATTTTATTTATCTTTCACTATTCTATCCGTCGAATTGGTTGACAGCTTATTTTCGTCACATGTAAAATCATTATTTAAATCGGTATTTAAAAACTATAGTTACCTATTAAACCAGAGTTCTTCTCACACGGTAAGCAGGGCACTGAACCAAAATAACCCATGTTAACAGGGCAAAATACATTCTGAATATTAGCAGTATCATCTTGTCCGCTCGATCATTTTTCTTAAAATCTGAAAAGTTTAATATTATCAAAATCTAGTCAGTAATGTTCAAATAAATATTATTATTGTTGTTGTTGTTATAAACTAAAGCCCACACACCATTAACAAAAAATGAACTGTTTTTTCCTGTTAAATTCTGCAACATTTCTATGATTTTATTTAGTAACTCA